CTTATAGGTACAAATAAGTAACGATGTAAATTACATTATCACTGTTTTATGACTTAGTATATTTTAAGCAGCATCTTGAAAATTGTTATTTTTTTTTGTTCCTGTTACTGATGGCGTTGATGTGCTGAGTTTTGTATGTTGAAAAAAATGCTGGTGCTTCTGTCGTCGTCCTGCTCATATTTTATACAATCGTCAAGTTGATGTTGCAGTTAATCTGGTGCAGGGAAGTCATTTTTACGGAATTGAATGGAGGCTATTTGCAAAAAATGGCCGCCTTCCATCACATGATTCATCGGATGCAGACTTTCTCACTCAGCGAAACAGGAATAGCGAGACTCAACAAATACAAGGAGACCACATTCCAGGCAATCATCGATAAAAAAAAAGTGAAAATTCTGCAAAGGAGATTATTTACAACAGCACCTGAACCCTTGGAACAAGTGTCCGTTCCATTTGGTCAAGATATTATTTGTAAGTTAAGGGTTAGATTTAGTTTTCAGTTGTGGACAGTTAAAATCACTATTAGGATCCACTAATGACCCAGTTAATGTTTTAGGTAAAGCAGTTGTATATAAAATAAGCTGTAATCAAAAATTGTTGGTGTTTTCAGAAAAGTTGCTTATTTTGATGTTATCTAAGTCTTGTTAGAACATGTTGGCTTGATCAAATATGAATAAAATACTAAATAACAAAAAAAAAAAAAACTAGTTGTAAGGTAGTCATAAGAGAAAACCAATTATATTTATTTAGGGTTAAGATGTAAAAATTTGGTGTCTTTAGCAAAATTTATCAAAATCTAATTTGTACGACTTTGTCCAAGACATAAACAGGTTATCTTTTTTTTTTATCTTTATTTAAGAGATTTTTAGCCATAGGCTAGTTCATCTCTGAAACAGTTTATCTAAAAATATCAGAAAGTTCAAATTTGAATGTGTAATACGAACTTTATAAAAATTCTGGTGACTATTTCAAGATATGTGGAGTAACATTTTAAGCAACTTGTTAGAAGATGTCTTACCTATAAAACGTAAAAAAAGTGTGGAAAGTTTTTGGAGTAAAATGGTTTACTAATTCCAACAAGAGAATTAATGCGAAATTCACTAGCTAGAAAAAGCAATGTAGATGATTGAATTTGATAGTTCCTTTAGCGTACTGTGAAAAAATGTATTGAAGTTGAAATTGATCCAGAACTATTTGAATGACAGTACGAATCAAGCGGGCTCAATTTCAACTTTTATACAATTATTAACACTGCTGGACTCTAATGGGTCTATCAAATTCTATGCTCTTCATAACATTCTCTAGCTAATAAATTTCGCACTATGTCTCATGTTGACATTAGTAAAGCATTTTCCTCCTAATTCTGTAATCGTGTGATCTGATTAGAAAGTAAGAAAGAGGTTTTGATTGTTTCTTTCCGGAACAACTCCCCATTGTGCGCAGCTCTGGAAATATCGAGAGTATTGAAAGTTTCTAAGCCACCTGGAGCTCAATATTTCAAAGATCCTGAAATATGATCCAAAAGGGATGATCTAGAATTCTACAGAATAAAAAAGCTTCCGAAAAATTCTGAATTCTCGAAACACTACCCAAGTAACAATTTGGGCACAGACAAACAGACATAACACTCGTAAGTTGTTCATCGAACAAGCATTTAACTGTTAATTTAAAAGTATCGTAGTTGGTAGTACCGCCACCTGTGGCGCGCATAGTCATTTTCCTTGCGTTTGACGTTTATACACTACCGCCATCTGTTCAGTGTACTACCCACCACAGTGTACTCAACAGATGGCACTAATGTTTCAGCGACGATGTTTTACAGTGAGAAATATTCAATGTGTTATGTCTGTTTGTCTGTGATTTGGGTTTTATGAAGGATATGTAGACCATTATCTAGACTTGTAGAATGCTATAAAACCTCGATAAAACTTGAAATGTTACTTGGGTATACTTCTTTTAGTCAGGATTTTCAAGTATTTTAGTCAGAAGAATATTTCCGGGAGTTTAATATTACCATAGCTCTGAAGTTCCTAGAACTCCTTGAATTTTCCAAAGCTTTCTTAGATCTAAAGCTCTAACAACTTTTAGTACCATGAAATCTCAAACAACTACGAGAAATAAGTCTAAACATCTTTCGAAATTGCGAGCTCCTTCAAAGTCTTAGAAGTCTCCAATTTTACTAGAAGTATTTAAGTAAATAACTCTAAAAACTATCAGCATTCTCGTAATACCTATTATCGCAATTCCTGTATACTTTTGGAACCCTAAAAACCATCAAAACTTCGAGAATTTTGTCTTGAGAAAGCTAGATGGAACATTTGACGTATTTTTAGGAGCTCATGGTACTCCAAGTAACTAACTTTTGAAACTCCGGCAAGTCCAGTAACATTGAGAAAACCTAGAACTTAGACAACTGTCGATGCTTCGGAAACTTGCAGTACTCTGCGTTTGAAAAATCTTACTACGCCAATGGTTACATAGATATTCCTATGATTCGGTTATGGCGTTTAACATTCCACCAAGCGTATCATATATTAGACCCCACTGTTATCCAAAATAACTTTCAAGTCCCGATCCTATCAATTCATGGAATTTAATTGAAATGAGCATATCCATCATATGCAGGATTCGTTAAAAAATACCATAAACAACACCTTTGGTCTGCTGTTGGGCATCGCAGACATCCTCTGACGTGAGTCTGTATCGTTGATCGTCGCCGGTAGCAGGCGTTGATATAATCTGTTTTTAAATATATTCATGCTTCATTGGTGAACGATAAATTAATTGCCAAGCTGCACATAATACCACTCGTTTGTAACGGCTCGGGAACTCGCATATCCGGAAACGATGCGGAACAGGACGATGGAATAAGAAAAAAAATAGACGTCGTCTAACCCAAATACATTCATAAAACACCGAGCGGAGAGGACATTCAACTGTGCAATGTCATTTTACACCTCAGCATACTTACTTGGAAAGATGCCGCTTTGGCTTGATTCCATCTAGTGGCGTTTACACCCCAACAAAGTACGGAAGCGAGAATACAACGGTAACGGTAAGGAACAGGGGGAGGGTTTTTGGCCTGGCGACAGCATTTTTTCGCCTTTGCCTCCAACAACAGTCTCAGGACATGAGACGAATGAATTTACTACAATGGGGTAGAATGAAAACATTTGGAATGCGCATGCCGATGGCATTGGTCCGATAATGTGATTATTGGTACACCGGCGGTTGAAATATCTGGATGGTTAGACCAGTAGGTAGGTACAGCTATTCAGATTCCTAGGGGTTTTGCAGGCGAAATATATCTACCCAGTTCTGAAGCTTCTTTGTGATGATGCGTTATACTTTACGCATACTAGACACACTGATATATAATCGTTGAATTGTGTTGCATGTTATGGATAAACAAAAACGTCTTAACAACATATATAATATACCGTATACACGTATTTTACAATGGACCTACATTAAGCAAAGCATTTTGCGAGCTAAGCGCAAACGCTGTAGTTAGGTGTTTGGAAGGTTCGCAAAATAAAATCGCTAATAGTTCATGACTGCAATATCCCGTTTGCCGAGTTGAATTTAAACTGGAGTTTGAAGTGGCATTTTGAAAGTTATTTTCCAAATCTCTCTGTCGATTGACACAGATTTGATAACAAAAGTAACCGTTTCTACCAAAATTTATCTTATTGCCGTGATTCGCTAAGGTGGAGTCCATTGATTATGTAACGCTAAGAATTTTCAATAGAATTATGAAAGGAAGCTTTAGTGAATACTTAGAATAATAATTTAAAATTATCTTAGGAAGAACTCCATGATTTTTGTTATGAGTGTTCTGCAAATAATTTCTGTACTATTATAAAGAATATTTCAAATGAATCCCAGAGAGATCTAAAAATTTATTTTAGAGGAATTCTGAAAAGAACTATGTAAAGAGAATGATTCATAAAATTCATGATTACTTTCCAAATAAATCCTGTAACGAGGTCTATGCGAAGTCTCATGATGGTTAAAACGTAGACAAATGTGGTTGTCTTTGTAATGACTCATTTAACCTAGTGATCCTTACGGCCCAATTGCACTCGATTTTATGCAAAATTTAAATGTTTATCGAACAACCTGGGAAGCTTTCGAAATTCCGGGAATATTTAAAAAAAAAAACCTTGAAATTTCTCATCGCGATTTTCTGGTTACCATGCAAATTTGAAAATTAATCATACAGTTAAATTACCCATTTGATTTGAATGATGCGGCCTAATGGCGTTCATAATATTGCTTGGACCCAAGTCAAGGTGATAGCACACAGCCACCCAGGATGGAAAACTCATATTGGCTCTCTGTCACAAGAAGGGAGCGTGATGGGGGTATGCTTCAGAGTTAGTTAGAATGACAGTAAGGCTTATGTTTGTGGCCATTGCTTTTCATGCTGCAGTATCTTTTTTTCTTGATTTGTTTTCCATCGATCTTGTTTTCCGTACTGAGTACCAATGCTACCGACGCTAGGGAGGCAGCTCACACACCTGGATCCTACCTATCGACCCATCAAACCCATGAACCGGTGACCAACGGCTTTACTTCCCTTCCGAAGGAAAGCGGGATCAGGGCCCATGCATTAATTATGTCACACTAAATCGAGGAGAAATTTAGACCACCTTCCCCCCTAGAGTGTGACATAATATATGCATCAACCCTCAGAGATTTTTATGCCTCAGAAAATCCCGGACGGCGCTGACTGGGATTGAACCCAGGTCATTTAGGGTGAGAGGCAATCACGCTTACCACTACACCACCGGTGCCGCTATCCTGCAGTATATTATACGCCTTCATTTAAATAAATTTATCCACAATAAATGTCTCCGACTCTGAAGGACGCTGCACGTTTCATCCTCCCACCGAGTGCAACTCGGATGTACACAAAATATGTTATCGTCGGTACCTACCCGCGATAGTATTGGCCCTCTAGTTCATATCGGACCGTTGGGCTTGTAGCATCTACTCAGCAAAAGCATATGCATCCGTTTTTTCGCCATTCTAGTTCAACAGTAGCAAGGGGTGTTTGCCCATTTCACAAATGTAATTAACTCGTGACAGTCGCGTGCCGTGCATCGCGCAGTGTGGGTGATATTGGAGGCGAGGATTTTCTCGATATTGGGGGTGGATTTTATAACAATACTCGGTGTGTTTGTGTTTGAATAGCGCTCGTCAATTAAAGGGGGTGTTGAACGAATTTGAAATTGGCTCATTTTGTGGGCTGTTCGGAAAGTTAAGTGAACGCTTGAAGGAATGTGAAAATTTAATCAACACGGAAAAGTTCAAGAGGTCAACCGTCCGCGGAAAAAATCTATTTTCGTTCCACTTACTTGACTTCGAAGGAAACGGTCAAGTTTAGAAAAACGATGCGTATGGCATAGCAGAAAAAAATCAGTTTGCGTTAATTCAATTAGCAGCATATAAGACATCACCCTTGAACGTTGGTGTCTAAATTAGAAAAACTGTTCACATCGATGAGTCAATGTGTTAAGTTAGTGTTGCCCCAATATGAAACTTCCGGAATGGATGAAACGTGGCCCCAAATCAAATGTGGGCGTAAAAAGTCTGAAGAAATCAAACAGTGTTAACAGTTATCGTGGTTCGCACCGTCACCACAGGCAGTCTAGTACATCTTCCTCGAAAGGAAAGCGAAAACGGAATTCGTATGTGTCTTCTTCGATAACAACGAAGAATTTCTATCCCGTTGAACATTTCTTCAAGTCTGGTCCAGATAACAACGGCTTTTACAATCAACATGCGAACACGCTTCCAGCCAACATGAATGGGTACAATTACCGCAATCAACTTTATCCACCGAAAACGCCTGATGGGCGTCTATACGGCAACACATTAGCCACCTCTACGTATGAAAATCTCAAATACGCTGACTTGTCTAGACCAGTTATGAACGGCATGCAGTACATGCAACATCAACAGCAGCAGCATCGCGATTTTCTTCTCAACAATCAAAATGCGAACCTCGAACAAAGAAGATACAACGATTATCAACAACACCATGTGGTGACGGGCGCCAATCCGATATCAACTATGACGATAGATCGAAGATTTACGCCCACTTTCCGGGCGGCCAATGACAATCATCTCAGTACTCTACCGAGAGCGAATCAGGCCCAATTTGGTGACCACTGGGACACTTGGAAGTACAATCAGCAACGAAAATGGTCTCTATCGGACAAGCGATCTATGATCGGTTCACCACCGCATGAAAGCCTCAATCACATGGAGCCGGGGCAGTTCTCTGCTGGAGCTCAGTTGAGTCATAAGCAGAGACAAATTATCCCAACTGCGGCTACCGGAATATGTGTCAGCAGAAATGACAGCTTCAGGCGGTACAAGATACCTTCGCCAGCAGCAATTTTAGATATGATCAATGATAAATACATAAGCAGCAAAAGGAAATCAAAGGTATGTGCTCACAAAAAGCGTATATGTATGTATGATTGAAAAGGGGTTAGTGAAATATGTTGCGGAGTTCTGGTAGATATTGTGCAACATAAGTTACGTCATTGGGTCAAATCTTTACTGGAAACACGGTGTTTTGATCGCTGGAATTTGTTTTCAATGAAACAGAAGTGACATATTGATTTTGGAGGAATGTACTATTGTAACTAATTTGGTTATTTATTTATTATATTAAAATAGGGTGGAGAACGGCTTCGGCCCCTTCGAGACCACATTCCAAGCATGGAGTAAATAGTAACTTTCAAAGCTCATTTTTTGCAGTATGATGCTTCACATCATAGAGCATCCTTTGGATAGATTTTCGGTTACTTTTCTTTAAAAAAAAAAGTGCTTGGAATAGGGGCTCGGCGCTGAAGCCGTTCTCCACCCTATGTGTAGTGTAATAAATGGCTATCAGCACTTTTGTGTCTTTATTATAAAATCAAAAGCATTATGCGTAGTACCAAACTGCGCCGAAAAGGAGGTGCTGGAAGCAAACTTGGCAACCCTTGGCAAAGTTTATTATAAAATGCTTTTATTTCTAAAATAAAGCTTTTGTTGTTTTTTTTTCAATGATGCTACGGGGATAAAACTCAAGGGCTGCTCAATATAGACGTATTAGGGAAATGGCTCCAGTGTTTGTTTTGGGACGAACAGTTATAGAGCCACAAAGTTATCTTATCGAGATACCCGTGTTCAAGTATGAAACGATGGAAACGGCTTAGGACATCATTACTATTGCGGCCACATACATGTTCAGGCCAGAGGCACGCCACAATAACAAATTTCAGACGGTCCAGTCGTGGTAGTTGAATCACCTAATTCAATATAAAAAAAAAACTGTATAAATCTTATTGCACTTTTCTGTTAAATTGTCTTTACCTTTTGGAGATCCATGGCCATGACCACCTGATTGGCAATTGCTGAATCCCCATCTGAACGGCATTTCAGCCGAGCGTGCTTTGCGTACTCTAAGTGCTTGTAATACTTAGCACATAGATCACATTCCGTGGAAGTATTATTATGTCCAGATACTTTTTGATGATTCTCTAAGAGAGATGAACCAGCCTACGGCTCCAAGTCTCTTAAATAAAGAAAACCAAACCTTGATGATTCTCTGAACTCACGCACACCTCGCATTCTTCGTGTCAAAGCTTAACAAATGCAATATTAATTTCAGTGATAACGCGTGAGTACAGAGCGTAACTAAATTTCCCATCGTGAGTAGTTCGTGCAGTTTAGGTTAAATCTGACTGGTAAAAATACATCAATTCGTAAATACATAAGATTGCATTTTCCGGAGGTCTTTTGAGGCATTTCAGTTCTTTCGTCGATTTTCCTCAGCTGCAATGTGCACATAGCTACGACTAAATACTTTCTGACCAGATGCATGTAGATTCCAGTAAGCCTTAAGAACTTTAACCTTGTCATCTCGAGACAAAAGATCAGCACATTTTTTACGGCATTTGCAATGTGGAGCCGATTTCGAATATTCATCATCAGACCATCGATCCTCAGCCAGTTCTTCATTTTTTCGGTGGTTTACGTCACATGATGGCTCGTCTGATTTTTCTCCCGGATCGAATTCCATGGATTCTTCATATTCGCTATCGTCACTTCCATACGCCCACGGCCAGCGAGTCAATTTTTTAACAAATTTTGATATCAGACTTGTTATTTACACCTTACGAGCTCGCTTACACGGCGTTTTTCGCGTCGCAGTGTAACTTCGCCTTCGACTAATGGGCCGAATCCCACAACTGTTAAATCAGTGACCACTTCATACAAGGGTATTTTTTTTGCTCATTTAATGGGTAGTCCCAGTCTTTCTCGAAAATGCTTACTTTGTACACGCTAAGCAAAAAGTACCCAAAAGTAAGTTCTTTTCACTCATCTCGGCACTATCCACCTTTCCATGCTCGGTAATGGCGGCCTGTTTGCATGAATAAATGTATCATTCACTGTGCTTTTGACACTAACTGGAGGGCATATGTTGTTCCATTTTCTTCTGTTCCTGGGAGAGGGAAAGGGAGGGGTCAAAATCCGAACCTCCAGATAGTGTCAAAAAGCACAGTGAAGGATACGTTTATTCATACAAACAGGCCGCCAATATCGAGCATGGAAAGCTGGATAATGCAGGAACCCAAAAGTCCCGGAAAAAAATAACCATACAATTACCATAAAATAAAATACAATTACAAGCAAATCTTTGCCAACAATTGATCTTATTGTGCATATATAGTACACGAAATTTTAACATATTGTTATTACAATAGATGTACAATACGTCCCATTTAGTAAGAGTTTTCAACAATAGGACAACAATACAATTAATGGTAAATGGCTCAAGTTTGTTCGGGAAAAAGTGATTTTTCGTATGGTTAAAATACATAACAACCCCCTTGTTCTATTGTATAACGCTTTAGTGGAAGTGCGTAGTTTTATTTGTATTATATTTGGATCTGGAATAAATTTTGATATAGTTATGCCATGCGTCCAAATTACCAAACAGCCATTAAGCCAAACGGCGTTCCCCCATGCTGTATTGCTCAATTATGAAAGCTAGTTGTAAATTCTAATGCAAAATATGCCTAAAACACTAAGCCTTCTTGAAATCATCATAATGATGTAGATTTTGAAATGTTGTAGGGCAAGGTATGGGAGTGAAACTGGCAAAAAACGTATTATAATAAATATTCATAATTTTTATAAATTTCGCTGGAAGTGGCTAGGATCGATAGATTTAAACTTTTTATCACTCATCAATAGCAACAATCAAATTTATTAAATAAACTTAATTCGAAAAAAAGAAGCGTTTTAAAGCTTCGCTCCCATAACTCCCCGTGTAACGTTTTAAAATCAGCATCAGGATCAGCGCGAGAGTATTTTGGTCTCTTTAAATAGTTAGGTGTTGAGCTCCATATTTACATATTAAAAGTGAAAAAATCGATAAATTTACTTGTTTTCTTTAACGAAAAAAAATAATTCTAATCGAAGTTAATGAGTCAAACTTCGTAAACTTAAATTCATTGCAAGAGGCAATACAACTGGCAACGCTTGTGCAATGATACTTTTACGTTCTTTAGCAAAGTAGTGGCCTCGAAGTGGTTTTCTTGGTGTTTTATTTCGTTCTCCTAAAGATTTGCAAAAAAGCAGTTTTTAATAATTTCGTGTATTCTATTGGGTAAAATTGTAAAATTCTACGAAGAACACAAGTAAGCAAATGCAGTGAAAGTGATTTACACAGAAAATTATCATTGTAAAATCACGAAATACTTGCTTTAAATTTTTCAGTGAATGGTGGTGGCATATCATAGAAGGAGGATCAAGTCTCCCCTAATAAGGTTATCTGCACAGCAAAAAAATAATTTTAATAGCACCTCAAAGTGGATGCACTTCAATCGTGTCGAAAATAAGGTGTAATATTACTTGCTAAAAAGGACAAATTTATCATTAATACAGTGCATGAACTGGCATTACGCTGCTTTTACTGCATTTTTTTTTTATTTTTGTGGCCATAAAAATTACATGAGATTTTCGACATGATTGAAGTGCATCTTTTTGGATGTAATATTTTTTTTGCTGTGTGCCATTTAATTCTACTTAATTAATAAAAATAATGCAGTGGATTTAAATGGAAAATAACCTTTTTTTCTGTTTCAAAGCATTTCTTTAACAACCCCCAATTTTATTACTTCATCTCCCCTATGTTTAAAACTATGTTTCTTTGCAAATTAAAAAAAAAAAACTTTCTTTTAGAAATTATATGTACATTATGTGAGAGGCTACAGAGAATAAACAAAAACATATGAAAGATCCCTGTGTCCACTGTCCCTTATGCCAGCAAAAGGGGATCAAGTCTCTCCAAATGTTTCGAAATGTGTTGAAAAAAAAACGTACTCTTGAGAATTGATCCAACACTTTAAATATTTATTTATAAAGTGGCATAAGATCAAATTTTGATTTTTTTTTTTTCCACAAGATAGGGGGAATGTCTCTAATGTTGGCCTATGGATCTAAGATCGGGCCCATCGCTAAAAATCTGCTATTTATCAATTTTATCTAGATGAACGCGTTATTGAGACGTTACTAATGGATATTTTTGGTTGCTATTGAGCATTTCCAGCCCAAATCGTTAAAAATAATGTCAATTTTGTCTCGACCCCTTCTGATGTGAATGAAACATTGCTCACGTGTTCGCTGCTACTAATGGTTGCATTTTTCATTTAAATATGATTTTTTCCTCCAGAGTAACTTTTGAAAAGGGCGTATAAAAAAATGGATTATTTTTTTTTCAAAAAATCATAACTTGAAAACTATTGATCTGATCAAAATGGCATATGAGAAGAAGTTTTAGGTAGTTAAATTATCTTTGCGGAAAAAATACACTGAAAGAAAAACTTAGTAAATTAGTATTTAAAAAAACGTAAAACGATGATTATCTCAAAACACCCCCCCTTCGATCTTTATAAATTTTTTTTTCAAGAAAACTGAAAAAATGCCCTAATTTTTAGTGAAGAGTGTATGCTGGTAACTTTCTTAAAAAAAAATCTATATTTTTTGAAATTTTTGTTGGTTTTTACAAGTTGGTGAAATTGCATATTTTTTAGTAAAATAATAATTTATTTGGATTTTAGGCATAATTTTCAAAAACTTTGCATATATAAACTTTTTTCCTTAGTCCAGCCGTTCTCAAGTTAATGCAATTTAAAAAAAATATTATGATAATTTTCTATATATTGGGCCATTTTCAAATGTTAGTCGTGATGTCCAGCAACGAGATGTTTTTCCATGAATAAATATTAAAAAAACAAACAATTCATTCTCAAATATGGTAGCTGTCAGACTTACCCGTTTCTATTTAGACGCAGCGGAAAAGAAACACGTTGATGTGGTCAAATGAAAGATTTGTTGAGATAAGAAACAGTATATATTTATTATTTTATTTTACAACTCATATTATT